TATGGGATACAGCTGGTAATAATCTTGATCATTATATTTTACAGTATTAGTAAATTATTATACATTAATGCATTATTGTTATGTTGGGAATAAATAGGTCAGGAAGATTATGATCGTCTACGACCTCTCTCTTATCCTGATTCTCATGTTATCTTGATTTGTTTTGCTGTTGACTCTCCCGATTCCTTGGATAACGTACAAGAAAAAGTAAGTATTAAGAACTTGGCATTCAACTTTAATTATGATGGTATATTATATACGATTTTTAATAATTTTGATGACAAATCAATATTATGATGCACTTTGAGCAAAATATTTGGACAAAACATGAGACTTAATTTAATAATTATCAGAAATATCAAATAAGATATATTTTTAGGATTCTTGAATGGAAATCCGTTGTTTATCATCATTAAATTTATTAAGTAATTACATCAAAATTTTTAGTTCACCTTGAAATTTTAATTATATTTATATTTAATAGTGGATTTCAGAGGTAATGCACTTCTGTCATGGTTTGCCTATCATCTTAGTTGGATGCAAGAAAGATTTGAGGTTCGATCCCAAGACTATTGAAGAACTTCGCAAGACTTCTCAAAGGCCGGTGACACCTGAAGAGGTATAACAATAAAAGAGCATAGATCTACTATTTATTATTTCATATTTTATATATTTGTCTAATTTATGTGTCATTTTAAAACAAGGGTTTGAGTGTCTCTCAAAGAATTGGTGCCTATAAATATCTTGAATGCTCAGCCAAAACTGGTGAGGGTGTTCGCGAGGTGTTCGAACATGCTACACGGGCAGCGCTTTTGGGCAGGGGAAGGAAGAAGAGAAATCATACATCATGTTTAGTTTTGTAAAGAAAAAGGTGATGAATGATTATATAAGCAAATAATGGAAAAATTAGGATTTAATTTTGTTTAATCTCAACTTTTACATGAGAATTTCTATTTCTTCTTTGAAATCTTTTAGTATTCTCTCTGTCAAATATCAAATATACATTTTTTATTATATACAAGTACAATTTTATCTGTGCTTTTTACTTTGCTTGCAGACTGGTGTTTAAGATTTTACATTGATAGGATTTTTTATTATTTGTTTTCTACATTCTTTGCTGATATATACACATATATTGCTTATATTATTACTTGTTCTTATTGTTGTTATATTATGATTTTTGATTCAAACAAATTATAAATCCATCCTATTTAATAGGATCTGTTTTTATAACCAACTTTTTTTTTAATGTGAAAAATTACTTATATTACTATTTTGACGACAAATTATTAAATAAAATAATGGTTAAAGACATCGAACTTGATAGGCTAAAGGTGGCGCAATTCGGATGTTTAAAATTTCTTTATGTGGCTTAATCGAGAAATCATTTAGTATTGTTTTAATATGTGGCAAAATTTGTATTACGATATTTTAATTATGATGTAAACCTTTACATATTCAATTACCCAATAGCGTTTTTTTATTTAGATTTAGAACATTAGCTTTATTCGCAAACTATTAATTTTAGATTATATATATATATATATATAATTGTACTGTATATATACAGTAATATATACTATATATATACTGTATATATATAGTTAAATTTAAAAATATTAATTAGAAATTAAAAAAAAAATATAAACAAAAAATTTATATATATATATATATACTGTATATAAAAGAAATAAAAAATTAAAAAAAATATATATAAATCATCACTCTTTCCGATGATCTCTTGTACCAAAAACACAAACTTTTTTTCTAAAAAACAGTAGACTATAGTAGAAAAGAAAAGTATAAGACTGATAAAAACTATAAACCAGCACCTGTTATTTAGAAATAGTTCTCATATACTATTTGCTAACAGGCTTAGAGCTTATAACTTACTATGAAAACAGCATTTGTTATTTAAAAGTAGTTTTCATTTGCTACTTGCTAACAAGTTTAGGGTTTATCACCTATCAACAAGAAAATTAGCAGTTAATTTGGTTTTTTATATTTTACTACTTTTGGAAAAAAATATACACTCTTTTAAAAAAAGTACAAGAGCTATCTTCTACACTATCACTTACTTGCTTATTTTTCAAAATTTTTATAAAAAGTAAACAAAACAGCTTATCTCTGTTAAAAGATCAGCATTGTTTATCTTTTTTAAATTTAAATGATTTAGTAGATTGCAACTATATGTTTTGTTTACCAATAAATACAGTGCTACTCTATGGATTCAGGCTCTTGGTTAAAGGAATATCTGAAGATGATTATATAATTAGAAAGAAATTTATATGTTAAGATGAAGTTTTACAGTAAAAATATACAAATATTATATTTGTTATATAATTTTTTAAAGACTTGTACAGATTATAATAATGTAAAGAATACTTTTTTTTTTTTTTCTTTTTTTTTTCATGTTCTTTTTTTTTACTTATTAGATTGCCTAGCTTTTCTTTTGCTTTTTTTATCTTGTTTTTTAAATATTAGATTTATTGTTTAGATTATATAGTTTTTTACTATTTACTATTTCTTTTTTTATTTAATTTTCCTTCTCTCCTTTTATATATGTTTTGTTTTTTTTTACTTTTTTAGTAGATATAAATAACTATACTATCAAGATTTAGGTGAGAAAAGCCTTAAAGAAAGGCTTAGGCTTTTTGATAAAGCTTCTAGTTTTGTATAGTTTTTACAGACTAGTGTGGCAGATTATATATAATAATTTTTTTTTTAACATGTTAATTATATCAAACTTAGAGATTAAGAAACAATATTGTAACTTTAGTTATAATAAAACTTAATAGAATTCTTGGTAAGACTATTTAAGTTTAAAATAAAAAAAATAAAAAAATTAAAAATCAAAAAAATTAAAAAATTAAAAAAAAAAACAAAAAAAAAAACTGTTTTTAATAATTACTTGTATCAAAATTCCTAAGATATTGTATATATAGTATATTAAATTAAATTTAATTTGATTATTCTAATTTAATATACTTGGTATATTAAACTAATTTAATTTTTTTTTTTTTCGGTATTAAGATGACCTCTTTGGCCTGGGAACTTTTTATTAGTAATTATTAGTTATTACAGTTACAATAAAGATACAACTAGCCACACATGCACCTTTTGGGTGCCT